TGTGCTTTAATTGCTTTAATTATGTTCAATTTGTAACAATGAAAATACATCCAGCATATCAGATATTTGCATGACGATTCATAACAGTAGCAAAATGACAGTTATGAGGTAGCAACGAAAATAATTTTACGGTTAGGGGTCACCACAACATGGGGAACTGTATTAAAGGGTCGCGGCATTAGGAAGGTTGAGAACCACTGCTCTAGAGAGCTTGTTAACCCTTTCAAGACCAAATTATGTTCTGCTTTAGTTTTTTTCATTGAAGCTGTTTTCAGTAACAGAGCGTTTTGAATGAAATAGGAGCTGGGAGTCACAGTGGTGCAGTGGTTAAAGCGCTTGGCTGTGAATCAAAAGGTTGCCTATCCTGCCAACTGCTGCATGGAGAAGGATGTGGCAGGTCTGCTCCATATAGATTTACAGCCTTGGTGACCCTCGGGGGCAGTCCTCTGCACTGTAGAGTGCTCAGGAGTTGAAATTCACTCGACAGCCCTGGGCTGGGATTGGTTTGGGTACTGGTTTTGATACAATTAGGACGGGTATGTCCCCAGCTAGTCACGGGCTGGGTTGCTGGCATGAGGCCAGTTTCCTCAGCTGCACACAGTTATACAGGCCCCCACCAGATGGCAGTACGTAGTAAGAGTAGGGTACCAGTTTGCTACTCCCATGTCCCAGAGGTCCCAAAGGGCTAAACTAGAGATTCTCTCTCCCACCCCAGTCCCAGCGATTGAGGTCTGGGGGGAGCCGGGTGAGGCAGGCGCAGTCCTTTAAGGAAATGCTGCTTTAACTTCGCCACCCAGCTCTCCGGAGAGAAATGTCTTGTGCCAGATGGGAAAATGCATGACTGGACTGCCATGTGTGTGGAAGACATTTGATCAACTGACCTTGGCAACATCAGAAAAATTAACCTTACCAAACACCGAGATGCGCTCTGTGCCAATCTGCTGTACCAGACTTACCGAGAGAATATTCTCAAACACCCCTCCCGTGGGTCTCTCCTTCTCGGCAGGATCTGCCAGCCGTCCAGCCCCGGCTCGTGGCCGTCAGCAAAACCAAGCCTGCAGACGTGGTGATGGACGCTTACCGCCACGGCCAGCGCACTTTCGGGGAGAACTACGTAAGAGCCCTTTGCCAACGTGCCCACAAAGGACTTCATGGTTGCCAAGCTTCTGATATGTTCTGTTTTGATCTCTCAGGTGCAAGAACTGCTAGAAAAAGCATCGAATCCTAAAGTAAGTGGGCGTCCGGCATCTTCAGTGTATGTGTGATCTCGGCTCTTCAGTTGAAAGTTACACCCGTGTTGGTGGAACCTGAAGAGAGAAATGTTTACTTTAACTTTGAGCCCTTAGTTTTTCTCAACTAGATTTTCATTCCTTATTCGAACCTTGTAACAGGGTTTCCCACAATGGCTATACTCGCCCCTGAGTGTAAGGGGAGGGGGGCTGGGGAATCCACAGGGGGCTGTAAAAATAAACATTTATACTTTATCCTGAATTAGGTATGGACACAAGCTTTACCAGGGGGACACGGAGTTTTTTGGATTTTTGCGTTGTTTTTTGTTTGTTTGTTTTTTCAGAGAAGGGAACAGTAGGCCACGTCAGAATGGGGACCTGCGCCTTAGAGTTTTTCTCTCTTCGTGGCAGCATTTTAGAAGTCGTCCGTTTGGTAGTTGGCTGTAATCATAGATGCTTTTGACTTCCGGTCATATTTAATGGGTGGTATTGGAAGTTAGAGGGAGTTGGTGGGGGAAGTGGGACAGGGGACAAAAGAACAGAAGCGTTAAGATTTTTTCTCAAGCATCCTTTTTACCATCATTAGGAGGCTCGCCGAAGATAGGGTAATGTTTCATTGCGTTTAAGAAACAGCATAGATATGAAGGCGGAAGAGAAGGTGCAAGAAGTTTGAGCCAGTAGAGCCTCCGGAAGCCTGAGTCAAATATCCCAGTAGCCACTTCTTCTCCCTTCAGATTCTGTCTTCGTGTCCGGAGATCAAATGGCACTTCATTGGCCACCTGCAGAAACAAAACGTCAACAAATTGATGGGTAAGATAGAAATCTGGGCGTAAAGACAAAACGGCTGCATGGTTACATGCCTTGCATATCCTTCTGTGACAGAATGGTTTTTACCATGCACACGGTTCAGTTCGTTCCTTTTGGAAAAGTGGTCTTAGTTCTCAACAAAAAGAGAAAACCTCAAACCCATGCCATGAACCCCAATTACCTGTGTTAAATGAGGGCGTTTCAACGAGTTTGTGAAAAATGGAATGTTCCCATAGGTTTTCTTTTTTTTTTTTTTTAAACATTTTATTAGGGGCTCATACAACTGTTATCGCAATCCATACACACATCAATTGTGTAAAGCGCATTTGTACATCATTCTCAAAACATTTTCTCTCCACTTAAACCCCCGACATTAGGTCCTCATTTTTCCCCTCCCTCCCCGCTCCACCTCCCCCCCCATAGGTTTTCTGAAGCCCTCTCATGTGTCTGTATACCGGTCCTATCTTGTGTTCAAGATTTTTTGGCGATTTTTCAAATATATTGTGGACAATGAGATCCTGTAAAATTTTTCAACTTCTGAAAGTGACATTTTTATCCTATATCCCTTTAAATAAATAAAATCATAACCATAGAAAAACTTACTTGATGACAGAGCCAAGGCCATTGTCATTTCATCTAAGTTAATTGTAATATCACCTTATTTTTAGTAGCTGTGAATCCGTAGGGATGTCAGCGCTCCTGCGGTTGGTCATTTGTGTCCTTTGTCTTGTTTTTGTTTGGTTCTGTTTTAAATCATTAGAGCTAGATTGCACAGGCTAAGTTGGTGTAGTTTATCAATTTTACTGCCCATTTCTCAAAAGAGTTAGACATAGAATTGTCATTTTATCCAGCAACTCCTCTATTAGGTATAGACTCAAAGAAATTGAGAGCGAGAGCACAGAGTACACCGGGGCACTGGCTGCACCCTTCACGACAGCCGGAAGCTGGGCATAACCTAAATGTCTGCCTGCGCTCCCTGGCTGCAGCAGAAAGACCACAGGTGGGTGGCTTTGACAACTAGAGATGGAGTCTCCCGTAATTGGAGAATGGAAGTCAGACTTTAGTGAGCTGGCTGTATGAGAAGGCTTTCCCTGTGTCAGCTCTCGAGGAAGGTCCTTGCTGAGTGAGCGTCTGTCCTGGGCAGTCTTCATGTGGCTTAGCGTTTCTCTCCCACCAACTCTGCCTGCTTATTCGCTTGCTGAATCTCTTTCAGATCTTGAAAGACCAACTCAAAGTACAGGGTACATGAATCCTGCCTCATTAGCATAACAATGCCAACAGATTCCTTCCAGTATGGGATTATAACTGCAAGAGATTAGGATTTACAGCACTTATTTGTAGGAGACACAGTTCCCATCAGTGATGAAATAGATTAAGACGTACATTAGAAATGAAGTCCTGATACATTGCACAACGTGGATGAACCTTGAAAACATTCTGAGTGAAATAGGTCAGTCACAAAAGGACAAATCGTATATGATCCCAAGTATGTGGAACACTGGACAGGCCAGGGTACACAGACTGCACTTTATTGGTGTTACCAGAGTGGGCCAGTAACTGCCCCTGGAAGCTGGGGGAAGGAGACCCATTGCTTTCGGGGACACCAAGCTTTTGAAGAGTGCTGGAAAACATTGGGAACCGCCGATAATGGCGCTAGTGGAACACATGGTGAAAATAACGTCACTGAAATGCACTGTGAAGAATATTGACATGTCAAGTACTTGGTTACGTACTTTTCTCAATGAAAGCATGCTAGTTACATCCGGGCTCTGTACAACAGAGATAAGGGTCCCATGTACTGAGATCTGTGTCTAGGCATTACTTTCATATTTAAAATAAACAATATCCATTAGGAGGAATCTTTAAGTTCCGTAAATTGTGATCATCCGTTCTGTGGATCCTATAGTTGTTGGGGGGGCGAAAAAATAGTCTAGTGGATCTTGGGTTCTCATCTGGAAAATCACTGTATTGATTGCTAACTGGAAGAAAGTAAGCATGATGTTAATGTGATCTGATTTATGAGTTAACAGAAAAGAAAACATTAATGAAAAACCAGGGTGTGTGTGTGGGTGTGGGTGTGTTTTGATGGATAAAGAGATACTAAAATAGATCTGGAAGAGTCCTACCCCAAAGGTATTAGCAGTAACCTGTAGGGCAAGGCTCTTTTTACTGCACATCCTTTTTTTTTCTTCTCACAAGTGTGCGTACCCTTTATAATCTCTGTTATTCATGGGTTTGTTTTTTGCAAGGTAGCCTGAGCTCATTCGGTTTTAAGGCATGGAACAAGACACCTTTGTTCACATCACTGCTCTTATACCTGTTAATCGTAAGAAGTTTTAAAACTAGTCTTCTGTGAATTTCCATTTCCCTTTTACCTAAAAGGTAATAGTGCTTCTTAAACTTTGAAGAAAAAAGAGATTGCATATAAATACTCAACACACATTGTCTGGTGGGTTTCAGGTGTCTGGCACATGGAAGCTCTGGTAAATGGCTCTGGGTTTTGGCCGAGGTCAGCTGGGGGTGGGTTACATTTAGTTGCTAACCGCAAGGTCAGCAATCAAACCCACCAGCCGCCGCTCCATCCACGGGAGAAAGTTGCAGCCTCAGAAACCCTAGCGGACGATCCTGCTCTGTCCTGCAGGGTCACTGTAAGCCAGAACAAAAACCAGCCGGCCTGGTTTTATTCGGGGCCCTCTATCCATGTTGACCAGAAACAGACCCATCCTGGGGAGAGTTCTGAACACAGTGCGCTCACACCAGGGCCACACTCAGCTTCGGGTGGTTGCCTGCTCCCTCCTCTTGAGCTGCTTACCTCCGCTTGCACTCGGCTCTTGCACTCGGCTCCGTCAGACCCTTAGGAGTGCTCCTGTAGGTCACTGCCTAAAGCTAGCTGAGCTCACACTGGATGCATGTGCTGCCTGGCTCTGGTGGGCCCGTGTTTCCTTTTCTCTCGTCATCTGTCCTGATTAGCCAAGGCTGGCCTGCCAGTGTAACGTGCCGCAAATATTTGTCTTCTCAGCAGAACTGAGGCGGACTTGTCTTTTGCTCTTGCTGGGGAGTGGCTCCCCCTCTGAGCAGGGAGGGTTTCTTGCACAGTCGTCACTGCAGCTGGGGGTGCGTGGGCGATCTTACCTTGCCGCCTCCTCCTTACAGCCGTCCCCCATCTCTTCATGCTGGAGACAGTGGATTCTGCGAAGTTGGCAGACAAAGTGAACAGCTCCTGGCAGAAAAAGGGTTCTCCAGAAAAGCTAAAAGTCATGGTGCAGGTCAACACCAGCGGAGAGGAGAGTAAGTAACCAGACCTCAAGGGAAGGGTTTCAAGGGGTTTTCCTTCCCTGGCTGGCTGAACCATCTAATGGATTAGGTTCATGGAAAGAAGCCACCCTCGGGTAAGCTGTTTATGTGGTCTAGAGAGCACATGCTCCCAGCCCACGCATCATTCATTGTATATGTGAGAAGACTTCAGAGAGTTTGCAGGGAATTAGAATTAAAAGAGAGATTAATTCTTCCATAAACTTGCTGAAGCTTTCTTGTATAACAGGCACATCATGGAGAGTCTAGAAAAAGATAGTGACTTTGACCTGGAAATTCCTAAAAGTCACCATCACTCCTAAAAGGGATTGCAAAGTTATATGTATAATACTTTTCAGATCGTAAACAATGTTTTAGTTCATGAGACAGCCGGTTAGTGTTTCTGTTCCACGTCCTGCTTTGTCACATAGTGCCTCGCATCTTAAAAGCTTAGCTCGCAAGCAACTGCCCAAGACACAACAATCGGTCTCTGCTCATCTGGAGCCACAGAGCAAGAAAGTCAGGACTAGCAGGTATATATTGAGTGTGTGGCTAATCACCTTCTATGAATAGCGAGCTGCCATGAGACCAGTAGAACTAGATGGTGCCTGGCTACCATTGATCAAAGATTCTGCAGAAGAATTCTGACGGGCAGGAGGCAGGCCAGGAATGCAGAACAGAATTTCAGATCTCATGAACTCTAGATTTTCTGTAGCCATGAAACTTAGATGAGCCCCTGAAACTATTTCCCTGAGATAAAATATCCCTTGAAGTCTTACTAAAAGCCAACAACAGATTAGCTTAACTTTTAAAAAATACCTGCTGAACATCGTGTTCTTTAAAGAACTATGCATATAAGATCAGATTGACAACAGCCACTTGGGAGATTAGATAGAAACTTTAAGAAGGAAGTGAATTTGTGTTAGTCGGGGAGGAACAGCTCTTGGAAAAGGAGTGTGAAATTTTTCATGCAAATCATATATAATAAATGTTGCTAAAGGGTATGTGTAGAAACTGTTTAACTGTGTTTTGCTAAGTATAATCTCAACAAAATAAAATTTTTTTAATGATTTAGTATCTTTTTAAATCATTTTATTGGGGCTCATACAACTCTTATCACAATCCACACATCCACCCATTGTGTCCAGCACATTTGTACATTTGTTGCCATCATCATGTTCAAAAGATTTTCTTTCTGCTTGAGTCCTTAGTATCAGCTTCTCATTTTTCCCCTCCCTCCCCAACCCTCCCTCCCTCATGAACCCTTGGTACCTTATAAACTATTTTTCAAGTCTTACAGTGACTGATGTCGCCCTTCACCCACTTTTCTGTTGTCCATCCCCCTGGGAGGGAGTTATAAGTAGATCATTGTGATCGGCTCCCCCTATCTCCCCCCTCCCTCCTTACCCTCCTGGTATGGCTACTCTCATCATTGGTCCTGAGGGGTAATGATTTAGTGTTACATCAAGGCAGAAATCATCCAGTACAGCTGATGAATTTCTGGATAGGGCTTATGTTAACAGTATGACCGACTGAAATAAGAGCATGTGCCTTGAAATCAGACAGGCCTTGAGTCTGGGCTCCACCACATTCCTGGTTTGTGACCTTGGACAAGTTACTTAACCTCTCTGTACATTAATTTCCTCGGCTGGCAATGTGTCGTCGGAGTGCCAATTTGAAAGGGTGTTGTGAGGACTGAATGTGGTATTGCAGGTAAGGTGCTAGCATAGGGCCTGTCACCCTTTCGCTGTGTGCTGACGACAATAAGTACTGACAGCGCACTCATTTGCTTAGCATCACTGTACCAGTATCCACCACATCAGGATGAGGGACCAGACTGGGCATGTTTTCCAGAGAGGCCCTGGCATTCAGATCCCAGTTCCACAGCCCTTACCTTGGTGCCTTATAAAAGCCACCCAGCCTCCCTGTGCCTCCAGTGCCTCATCTTTAGAATGTTGGAAGTGCATGGATGTGCCCATTGTTATCATAAGTGAAAAGACCCTACTACTTGGTCCATGTACCTGGCACATGAGTATGGGGTCACGTTTAATAATTACCACTGTGCAGGAATAATCTCTCTCAGGAGGGTCAGCACAGAGCTGGTTCTTATGAGGCAGAGGTTCAAGCCTCCGAACTGCTGTGCCCCACCCAGCATCTCCACCATCAGCTACTCCTCCCACCTGAAGGTTACAATGCCTCACGCAACTCAAGAACCATCCAGGAAATGACTCACAGGCTCGCTGGCAAGTTGTAAATACGTAGGGCCAGAGTCAGTCTAGAGGATTTTCCTACTCGCTTGGCTTCAGGGGCCAACCAACCAGGTGCAGGCTTCAGAGCAACGGAGAACTTGCCAGCGCCTCCATCAGCATTGGATGGCAACTATACCACCAGGAATCTGAGGGTGGGGACTCCAGATACACCCCACTCTAACCTCCATCCTACCTCTTCAGCTTAGAGAGCTAACTCGGTCCAAAATGGGAGCGAAACTGCACCAAGATAGGGGCCAGGGTTTACAGCGCGTTGCGCAATGAAGGACGGCCAGAGGGCCTCGTTAAGCACTGCGCTGTGCCACATGTCGATGCCCAGGTTCTAGCTGCGTTGAGTTAGCATTCCAGGGACCTGGACTGCAGATCCAACGTGTGTGACATCATATCTTGATAATCCGCTATAATTTGTTCTAATCAAAGACGCGTGAATGGAAGCAGTACAGTAAAAGATCACGCGTAGGAAGTTATTCTATAGAATTGGAGTGAATATTTGTTTAAGGGGTGCTACGGCGGGGCACTCCGCTGCTCCAAAGAGTGAAAGTGCCGCCTCTGCCAGGGGAAAACGTTGCTGTGTGTCTCTTCTCTGTCTGCGAAGGTAAACATGGCCTCCCGCCTTCCGAGACGATCGCTGTGGTGGAGCACATCAACGCCAAGTGCCCCAGTCTGGAATTTGTGGGGCTGATGACCATAGGAAGCTTTGGGCATGATCTTAGTCAAGGACCAAACCCAGACTTCCAGGTACGGAGGGGCCGGGGCCCAGGGGGCGTCACAGGGCAGATTGCTCTCAGGCTAAAGAAGCCTGCTTGTAAAAGGCTGCTGGGCTTGCTGCAGTGTAAATTTCAAAGACATCCGAGATGTTGCCTGTCAAAATGACCCTCTTCTGAAGGTTGCCCGTGAGGGAGGGGGAAGAACAGGTTCCCAAAGCCCCACAAGCCTTTCTCAGCTCATTCGAACCTGACTAGAATGCCACCCTAGAGAAAATGAGCCCGTTTCCCGAACTCTCCAGTGATTGACAGCTTTCTTAAAAAGGGAAGCATTTCCTAAAAGCCCTTTAGTAACTTCGGGCAAATATGACAGGCCTGAAACCCATGAGGAATGAATAACCTTTGTCGGAGGTGTTGCGATTCAGCCGCTCAGACACCCTTGGAGCAGACAGGAAGGGAAGAAGTGTCACGGTGCCTTTCCTCTGTCAGGTGTTGGTGTCCCTCCGGAAGAAACTGTGCGAACAGCTGAGCCTCCCCGCTGACAAGGTGGAGCTGAGCATGGGCATGTCTGTGGACTTCCAGCATGCGGTGAGTGGCCTGGGCGGTCAGAACCCACCGCAGGAGCAGGCCCTGGGGGGGAAGCCTCTGCATCGGGCTCCTGATAGTAGTGGGCTGCTCACCTTTCCCAGGCCCGCCCGAATCCTCCTGTCTCGTAATGAAATTCATAGAAGTCACAGCCTGTCTGATGCGGGATGTGTCGTTCCTGATGTGCAACGGAAAGAGAACGAGAAGCACATTATAATTCAGTAAAGGCGTAGGCATGGCTACGTGACAGATGCTGACTGCTGTGTACATAGCCAGCCGTGAGCGCCTCAGCTGGGGTATAGAGTGACGGGTGTACTGTGTTGGCAATCCCGTTACGTGATTCTCTGGAACAGTAAATAACTTGATAAAGTTCCAGAAATAGAGTGTGTAAGCTTCCCTCTGTTTATGCTGTAGTTGCATTCCTAGAAAACTCACTGTATATTTTATACAACGTAAAAATACTTTGTGTTTAGAAGTGAAATGAAACTGGATCCTATGCCCAGATAGTTATACAAGTTAGAAAAGCATGCGGGCTGGGAGCCATCTCTCGCCTGTGCCGCTCTGTTCCACGCACTGCCAGGCAGCTGACATCCCTGGCTCCCACCTGGCTAACTGCCAGGAGTCTTCCCGTCACTGGACACCAAAGCAGCCCTTCCTGCTTAAGCACCCCAAGAGGAAGTGTGTCCCTAGGAGCCACCCTGCCCGTAGTCGTATCAGCCACATCATCGTTGCTCTTCACCAAGGCCCCCCAAGGGTGCCGCTTCAGCATCTGCTGCTGTTCTCATTCTCGCCGGGTTGTCAGTGCTCTCTCTTCCTTACCACAGATCGAGGTGGGGTCCACTAATGTCCGAATTGGCAGCACCATTTTCGGAGAACGGGACTACTCAAAGAAACCTGCTTTGGACAGATCCACAGTCGACCCGAAGGCCCCAGTGGAGGTGGCTCCGGAACACTGAACCCAGGCACCACCTGTGGGCTCTGCCCCGGCAGACTGACCTATGCACTAACTTAGATGTTCAGTTTGATCAGCCCCATGGTAAGGCACCCCCTGGGTCTCCTTGCAGGCCTGGGCAGAGCAGACCGAGACTGTTGGTGTTGATGGAAGTCGTCTGTGCTTAGCCTCCGACGTGGACGCCCGCTTCCAGCAGCAGCTTGGATTGGGTTTGAGATGTCCAGACGTTTCTGCAGAACGTGTGTAACCTGGAGTTCTGCCCAGGAGCACCAGTCATGAAGGCCTTTTCCAGCTTAAGATGTCATCACTGATGCCTGTCGTCAGGGGGGCTCCCATTTGTCGCCACCCCTTTAATAGAAACCCCCCTCCTAGTCACCAGCTTCACACAAGCACCTGCAGGGAAGGTCACCTCTGCTGCTCTGGAGCAGGCCATGTCTGCCAAATGGTGCCATCGTCGGCGGGTTTGAGAATCTGGCTCTGCTCCAGATGGCAGCATCAGTGCCTCGGGGAAGTGGCGCCAGTTGGTCATTGCTAAACGCTTGTGTCATTGGCCACCTGGTGGTATTGACATGGAGCATCACAAGGGGTATCAACAAGGACTTGAAGGGGCAAGACTGCTCGTTTGCCCTGGCATCTGCAGTCATGAGAATTTAATGGCGAGATTTCTCCTCCACCATAATCCTATGGTGATTCTGTATCACTGACAAACCCGAGAAACTCGCTGCTCCCCAGAAATGGGAGCCCGGGGTCTCATTTCAGAGAGGCCTACCTTTGGGTTCCCGTCCTGAGAAGCAAGCAAGCGCCAGCCACATTGACTGCTTCCTCACTATCTTGGTAAGCCAGAATTTAGCAAGTTTTGATTGTCAAGAAAGTAGCAAGATCTTCAACCACCAGAAAGCACAACTCAGCTCGGCCAGATGACTCAGGTGGGGGTGGAGGGGGGAGGGTGAATTTTCTAAATGGCTGGTTTTCCTCATGCATCCTTAAGCCTGTCTCTAACTTTGAAAGGACTTTCAGAACGTACTGCTGCTGAATGTAATTTTGTAAAACATACCGTTGTGATTCCTGTAATGTTTTAAAGCTATAGTGTGGTATTTGACTCATGAAATAAAAATGTGCTTTTGAATTATACCATCTGTGCTAATTAGCAAAGCACTTATTTTATTTTTTTATGATCTGGTGTAGTAAGTGAGTGTGCCAGGAGGGGCAGCCTGCCAATTTGCCTTAGGATCTTCCTAAGGGGGTCTCAGGTGCAGCCAAATGCCAAGATGTGGACCAGAGAGGAATTCTGAATTTCTAAGAGCATGAAAATGAAGCGGTTACGGTCGCGTTACCTTTCAGAGAGGAGCTCCTTTAAGTTGCCTCTAGATGGCGACATTGGCTAACCTGGGACCCTGTTCACCAGCACCAGGGAAGGCATTCCCTAGGTTGTTTCCTAGCCCTCTGTAGCAGCGGGTTTCAACCTGTGGGTTGCGACCCCTTTGGGGGTCGAACAGCCCTTTCACAGGGGTCGCCCGATTCATAACAGTAGCCAAATTACAGTTATGAAGTAGCAACAAAAATAACGTTATGGTTAGGGGTCAGCGCAGCATAAGGTTGAGAACCACTGCACAGGCGAGAAGGAAGGAGGAGGGAATTTGGGCCTTCCCCTGGGATACATCTGGCGCTTCAGCACATCCCTTTCAGCTACTCATGGCTTTGCTAACTTGGCTAAGGGTTCTGAGGTGGCTGCAGAGGGGGGGATGTGTTGAACTATAAAGCTTTCTCAGGCTTGGAGATTGAGAACCAGAGAGAGGAGGCTGAGCAGGGAACCCGAGGCACATTCCGATGGGGAGAGAAATGAGCATGTTGGCCCAGCAGGCCAGACCTTTGCGGGGAGAACATGTAACGACTCATACTGCTTAACCTAGCAGCAGACTGAGCTACTTCTTGTGCGATATAAGCAGGCAAATGCTGGGATACTATCAGAAAGAAGGTCTGCCGATGTGCTCCCAAAGAAATTGACAACTTAACTTGGTTTAGGGTGGGTTTTGGAGGCAGGGACAGGGTGGCAGCAGGCCAGTGGGGGGAGGGGGGATTGCCTTTTATCAAGACAGCAAGAACATCCCATAGCAAGTTTCCAGAATTAGGCAGCATTGCTCCCCTGCACCAGACCCCACATAGTCTAACTCTGATGACCCCCATCGGGCACTGGGCTCTTATCTGCTCCGGTACCAGCCTCGGAAGGCTTCAGGTGCCCAAAGACCTCCCAGTAATTCATCAAGGTTTGTCATCTTGGGGAAGCTCTGCGAATCTCCCTGTCAGACCTCAGAGCAGGACCCCTTAGTGGTTGGGGCACTGAAGCCCACAGGAGTTCAGAACCCGCCTAGTCTGAAGTCAAAGGAAGCTGAAGGCCCAGCCCAGGATAAATACAGGATTACTTACCTGCTCCAGCGCTTGATGACACGCGCTCGTATCTCTCTCAACTCGGGATTTCATCATTGATATGCAGCACGTGCTGAAAAGTGTAACTTTAAGAGAACTTCACGTACCATAAGGATTTTTTTTTTAAGTTTATTGTGATAGTTGAGAATCGACACATCTGAATGCAAGACAAACTTGGAAGTCACAAGCAGTGGGAGGGAGAAATAAGGAGAGAATCAAGTCCAGCAATGAGTGGACGCAGCCTTCCCGGCCTCCCTGCACTCCACCCGTCCCATTTCCCCAACATGCACGCACGCTCCTCCACATTCAAAGCCACTGCGGGACTCAGTGTGGGTACGTAAGCCCTCCCTAACTAACTGCCAGACTGGCAATGCATCTCTGGAAGAGTGAGGGAGAATGGGCCATTGTAGGGCATCGGGGGTTAGTCCTCTGTGCCCGACCTTCAGAAAAGCAGCGGCTCATGAAATCAGTTGAATGCTATTACATCAGCCTCATCATTGAGGGCAGAAGAATCCAAAGCGTCCACCAACATGTGTTACTGCTTTGCCCTTCCCTCAGCTGCCCACAGATAAGAAAGGGGCTTTCTCTCCCGGCAGGTTTGCGTCAACAAGTATATCCTATGACTGCTCAGGCGGCTTTTTACTAGATAAACCAGTTGCCTTCTATCTGATTCCAACACATGGTGACTCATGCGTCTCCCAGTCAGAACTCTCCCAGAGAGTTTCCATGGCTGTGTCCTTCAGCAAGCAGATCTCCAGATGTTTTCCCCAAGGGGTATCTGGGTGAATTCAAACCAACAACCTTGAAGTCAACCGAGTGGTTAACCGACTTGCACCCTTTCACTCACCCACTGCCATTGAATGATGTCAGCTCATAGTGACCCTCTCGTTCAGTTTACGAGACTGTCGCTCTTTTTATAATCATTTTATTGGGGACTCATACAACTCTTATCACAATTCATACATACATCCATTGTATGTCAAGCACATTTGTACATTTGTTGCCCTCATCATTCCCAAAACATTTGCTTTCTACTTGAGCCCTTGGTATCAGGGCCTCATCTTCCCCTCTCCCTCCCTCATGAACCCTTGATGATTTATAAATTATTATAAGTTTGTCATATCTTACAGAGCTATGGGAGTAGAAAACCTCATCTTTCTCTTGTGGAGAGGGTTAGTGGTTTTGAACTGCTGACCTTGAGGGTAGCAATCCAATGCATAAGCCACTGCGCCACCAGGGCTCCTGAGTTGTGTCACGTTGGAGCTCCATTTACAAGTGAGAGAGCTCTTAGCCTTGCTCCTCCCATTTAATCATATCGAGGTCCCAAGCAACCTGGGTACTGGCACCGTTTTCTCTAGAGAGCTCAGCTGGAGAGCATTTATGGTACTGTTCTTGAATTTAGAATGCATTTTAACAAGCTCAAGTTCCTGAGTTCTGAGCTCACTAAGGAGCGGGGGCCGCCCTGTGCGTGCTAGAGCACCTTCCGTGAACTGCTGCACGCATGCACTCCCGGAGAGTTGGACCCACTCCCTGCAAGCGCACACCCCGCCCGGTCCTCAGGAGGAGCTGAGTTTGACCCAGCTGCCAATCTCCGAAATAGAATCAATGTGTGACCTTCTTCACCAGATGTACCGAAGAAACAAGCACAAACCAGGGCCAACTTTGAAGCCAAAAAGGGAAGATGAGAAGTGGGAGAGAGAGAAAGAGGGGGTGGGGGGACTTGGCTGGACTTGAAAGGTGTCTTGTCTGTCTGTTCCCCATTAGGCACAATTCTCCAGCAATCTGCAGCCTCGACATAATTCTTCTGGCCAGAAACTCTCCGGAGAGATAGTGTCATAAGGAAAAACAAACAGAATACCATCTTCTGACAGCAAAGTCACTTAAAAACCTATTTGGGGAAGGGGGTGGGTGGTGGAGAAGAGGAGAGATGTCAGCCGGCCAGGGGAGGGCACTCCCTCACAGCAGGCCACATGTGGGGAAAAGTTTATCCTGGGACTCAAAGAAGGGCCACAAGAGGTTGATGAGCAAGGACCAGGCCAGGCCTGGAAGCACAGCTCCAAATCCTTCTGCCCTTCCAGCCCTTGATATCTCCAGACCTGCCTTGTATGGCTTTCTGAGCTCTGGCCTCGACACCAAACCCTATGATGTGGGGGGGCTTTTTACAGCTCCATGGTACCCCGGGAGGGACTAGGAGGATTGCATGAGAAAAAGGGCCCCAGTGTGTCCTGACTCCTCTTCCCTGTTCGGACCTCGTCGCCACCAGAGCTGGGAGAAAACCCCACTCTCCCTCCTCCTACGCTGGCAGTGAGCTCCCCAGGCGGCAAAGACCTATTGGTGGCCCGAACTCTGGCCTTGGAGTTCGGCAGTCCAGTATTCAGACGCCAGGCCCCACCCAGCCGGCAGGAGCAGAGAGGGCTGAATTCTAGCAGACCGGGGTGGGGGGGTGGGGGCAGCAGGTCTCTGCTCCGGTTTCAGGGGGGAACGTTTTATTTTTCCAGGGAAGAAAAGCTAATCCAAAGAAAGAAGCTAGAGCTGTCCCCTCCCTGCCTTTCGGACTTGTTTATTACTAGGAGATCTGATTTCAGCAGAGGAAGCCGGCACTGCAGCAAGGTTTTTATTGGCCGTGAGCAAGAGGAATTCAGGGTTTGCCTTTGATTTGGCCTCCCCAGAACATGAGGCACCGGAGGGTGCGCACTGCTTGGACAGAGCAACTCGGTGCTTTGGGGGCTCCCAGCAGTCCCGGTTTCTGCAGCACCAACTAACTTTCCCTTGGGGTCAGGGTGCAGTCAGTGGACCTGAGTGGAAGGCAGCCTGGAAGACATCTCAGAGGAGGAAACCAAAATGGGGCAAGGAAAGGGGAAGGTTCGAGTTGGGCTCCCAGGGAGCATGATGCTGTCAGGGCAGTCTCCCGGCCTCCCTGCCCCCTCCCCTGCTCAAGCGAGGGGCTGGCCTGCTTTGGATGAAAGCACAGAGTTCCAGGACTGGTTTCTAACTAATGGAGAGTGAGGCAGCCTGGGGCCTGATGGTTTCAATGTGTGAGGAAGATAAAGCCAGAGATTTGCATGAGACAACCTCTGCCAACAACCCTCAGCTGGGCCCGCTGCAGAGGGGGGAGGTTGATGATCACCAGCTGCTGATCCCCAAGGGCTCCCCACGGACACCTCCATGCAGAGAGAGCTGCTATTTGTGGCCTGGAACCCAAGCCAGCCCTGTAACACCGGCAGGCAGACAGGCTCAGCCTGGCCATCCTTGCCTCCCGCGACTAGCCACAGGGTAACAAGCCATGCACTGAGGAGGAACAAAAAAGGGGGCCCCCATCCATGACACCCTGCATGAACCCAACTGTCTCTCTCCCTTTCTCTTCCCTCTCTTCCTTTCCCTCTGATCTCCTTTCCCTGCTGCTCTTCCCGCTTTTCTTGGACCAGCCCCACTGGATGCAGTCAGCAGCCAGGCTGTTGGGAAGACCAGGGGACCTTGGGGCCTGAACTCACTCTCCCCAGCAGCCTCTTTGTGGAACACGGACCAAGAGATGATTCTGTCTGCCCAGTGGTTCTCTTTATAGCACCTGCCTTCACAGGAGAAGGTCCCAGCCCTCTGTGTGTCACCTCCTTCCCCTCTCCGGACACAAATCCTCACTTTGGGCCACTCAGGGAGACTGGAGACTGAGTATGCGCCCCCGGGGTGGTGCATTTGCCCTCCCTGCTCAC